ATATATATATATATATATATATATTTGTATCACATATCGAAACTTTCATATTTATATATACTTTACAGTTTGATGTTTTAAGTTAATACATAAAAATGGGTATTTCAGCTTAAAAAGTGAATAGTGCTATTTTTGATTTAGTATTGACATTTTGAATGGTATGTGTGTAAATATGAAAGTTTACGTTTGGGATATGAAAATACAAAAGAATTATGTTCTATGTAAGTAAATTCCTCTTTTCAAGGGAAATTAATTTACATACATTGCATACGATTTTTATATACTGATATATCTCACACCTAAACTTTCATATTTAGATACAACACCCTTGGGTGGTTTACATCAATGCATGAAAGTATGTATTTTACTTTAAGAAAGTGATAGAAATGCTATTTTTGTTTGATATTGTGGTTTTGAGTGTAACACATGTAAATATGAAAGTTAGGTTTGAGATATATAAATGCATAAGAATTTTGTTTTATGTAAGAAAATTCCCCATTTTAAAGGTAAATATACACACCACTATGGGAAAAGCATCAATAATCGACATAGTAATCGATGACTCAATTTCACTCGGTTTTATTCAGTTAAATTATGACAGGTTGGTGGCAATTTACTACAAGATTAATTTCTTACAGTTTCTTAACTTTTTAATCCATAGTTAAAGCGTTAGTGACTGTACTTTTTGGCAATATCGACATTATGATCCGGTCAGTTCTTGTCATATTACAAACTGAAAAACAAAACATTATTTTTCTACATTATTTATTGATGGTCATATCATAATAAATTATAATAACCAATGCACTCAGAGCATTGTTTAGTAATGTTTAATGATCGGCATTTTAAATTTCATCGATAAGCCTTCGAAAAGGATAAATATATTCAACCGACATAAAAAAAAAATTTTATTTCTTACTCTCGCTCGCCCTTTATCTCTCGTACCTGCGTGCAACTACGCTGTTGAATCTCTCTCCAAGGTAATTCGTTTTTTGGTTTTTTACAGTCAAATCAAAGGCAATATTGATTCAATCAATCCTCCAAGTTTTTATGGAATTTGGACCATTATTTTTTTGCATATATGGTTTTTATGTTTTCTGTAAAAAAATTTTTATGTGGGATTTAGGGGCTATTTGGTAGTCAGTTTTAAGTAGGATTTATGTCAAACGACAAATAGGTTATTGGTAAATCCTACATATCCTTAAATCCTGTTTAATCTTTTCTCCACTTTGCCTTAAATCTAGGATTTAATACATCTCGTAGGAAATAGGATTTAAGGGGATTTAAGGGATTTAGAGAAGCAAGATGCTGAGGAAGATAAATCCTATTTGAATCCTACTAAAGTTACTGAACGGTATCATTGAATTTATTATGATTTCTTATTAACATACCAAATAGTTTTAAGAATTTAACCCCTTCAAGATTTCATAAATCTGGCTTTACAGTGTTTACTAAATTCTATTGAAACTAAATCCTACTTGCGATCAAACAACCCCTCAAGGTAGATGTAGAGCAGAATTTAAGCGGGATTTATGGTAGAAATTAAGGTTGATTTAGGTGGTTTATGGTAACGAAATTAGAGCAAGATTTAAGGTGGATTTTACCTAAATCCTGCCACGCTGAAGCTAGATTTTACCAAAATTAGTTTGAGCAAGATAAAGCAATGGATTTCATAAATCTGGGTTCCACAGATTTTGGCTATATAACACATGCAAGAGGGAACATAGTGAGAGAGGGAGATATATAT